TTTCCCTTTTGTTAATAAACAAGAAAAAACAACCTCGTACAACTTGCCGATTATACGAAATATTCTCTCTTTACGTCTTAAATACTCCCTCTGTCCCATAATAATAGTAGCGAGGAATTATCGGTCAATACGGCCTTCAATCAAAATGGTTTTTCGTCACATTCGTCATTTTTCAATTTTTGCTTTAACCTAATTATTACGAATTACAAGTATTTTTGTAATTTCATCCTCAATTGTTTTATTTCAGTTGAATTATAACTTGGAGTTGTCGATGAATCGAAGCCAACAGATCCTACCTACAGTAATGAACTTGTTGAAATATCCAGAACACTCGAAATGAAATTACGACTAATATTTTCATTTAATCTAGTTTTATCGCCATAAATGTTGCGTTGTATATTTATTTTCTTCCCTACTATTATTGTGGGACAGAGGGAGTATCTTTTATAAAATGTCAGAAAATTACTTAAATTAAGTTCTTATTAAAGTATATGATTATTCTTAAATGAAATTAACCAGCGAGTTTCCGTCTTGTCGGAACTAACAACTTCTTTCTTTATTTTCATCGCGTGTTCGGCTAGGTCCACCGGGTGACGTAAACCAGGGGATCGGTAAATCCCGTATATATTGCCGAAAAATTCCCGGATTCGCGTTCGAATCCGGACGAACAACCGGTGGAACGATAGGTCGGACCCGAGCACTCCTATCGTAGGCCGAACGGGGGTGAAAAGAGCATCCGGAAAAGAAAATAAGTAGAGCCAACAGAGTTTTATTTTCAAGTATTTAATCCGATAAATATTGTTTCGAAAGAGCATCGACGTACGTTATCTTAATTATAAGATATTATCTCGTGTTTTTATAACTGTTTAGTTTGATAAAATTCATTTCGATAAGAAAACGTGTTTACAAACACAATTTCGGTGTAAATATGTAGAACACGTTTTATTCCTTAGAAAAATGAATCTTTTAACATTTATTAAATATTTCATTTCTATTTCTATGATTTTTAATTCGTGGTCTTTCACAATAGTTGTAAAAATATTAGAGAACAAACGCCGACTACACCGAACACCGATATTGTTGGCGCTCGAACAATGGGTTAACCACGCGGAGTTTTCTGACATACTCGACTTTCTCACACCTAAATAGAAGTCAATTTCCTATTAAAAAAATCCTTCCTAACTTCTCGATTCAATCCTTCACTCGACTCTACAAACACCTAACAACTCGCGCCTTGTCATTCGTAACCGCGTTCGTAAAAGTAAATACAGTCGACCCCCCTATAATTACGGTCCCTATAATTACGATTCCTATAAAACTACGAAAAAATATACGTATTTTGGAAATGTTGAGTCGGATTAGTGTAGAATCGATTAATTTTATGGAAGAAAACCTTTCAATCAGCCGTAGTCCGTAAACTTGACATGTGTCGGGCTGTGATTGGAACGACTTGTAAGAAATCGGATTCCTAATAAATTGGAACGTATCTCTATCTTATAGGGGGGTCGACTGTACACGACTCGCGTATTTATCGGGTAACAAAAACGTAGCGTAAAAAGTAATTTCGGCGAATAAGCGCAAAACTTAAGTAGAGTTGTCAATTCGTGCTGGACACGACCGAAACGTTATACTTGGTGAAGATGTAAAACATTTCGTTCTCGCGCCATTTTCTTTTAAAACTACGCTTTTGTAGTCAAAAAATGTATACGTTATTAGCGTGAAATGCCTGGAGTTTTCTCGACAACTCTCTAAATTAGGAAGAAAAGGGATTGGTGAGAATTATAAACATTAAATTATGGAAATGTATAGAAATGTTAAATCGAGTGTTAACGTAGGATAGATTTAGGATTTAGGGTAGCTCTACAGTTTATCGAGGTTAAGCCCATATGTTTTTTTAAATTAATATTGAGTCTGCGGTAAGAAAAGAGCTTTGATGTATATTATTCGCAATCGATGTTGCGTTTATTAATGAGATTCTAGCGCAGTGTTTCTCAACCTCTAACGAATCGTCGCCTTCTTCAATAATACCGTTACGTAGTATCGCCCCCTTCACTTCAAAATTCCGATGCCGAGGGACAAGGCTAACGCCAAATTCGTACTGCATCGAATAGACTAGTGACTAGTATAATGTTATTTGTTTAATTATTGTACGATATAACGAATAAAATATTCAATTATTCTTAATATAATGTTTTACTATACCGCCCAGAAAATTGTTTTTCGCGCCAGAAAATATAAATTGTTACTAATCGCCCCCTCAACATGGAAAAACGCCCACATGTGGGCGATATCGCCCCCGTTGAGAAACACTATTATAGCGCCAGCTAACGGCAACTCACAGCTTACAGAGCGGTAGACTTATCGACTTTTCACCGGATGCTCGCCCTCTGGTGTTTAAAAACAAAACTATTCTACCTGAGTCGTTGGATTTATTCTTGTGTATTATCAGCGGTAAAGATGGAAAGCGATAGAAAAAGCAACGCTTACTGTTGGTTCCAAACGAGAGCCTGATATAAGTTTTCGTTTATTCCCACACGAAAAACGGGAAAAACAGATGATTATTCGGAAATTGATCGGTTATATTTATGAATTCTGAAAAAGTGGATTAGACTGTTAAGAACTGGCAGTTTCCCGATTGCCCAGCGTTCACGAACAAGTTACGCCGTCAATTTTGAAATATATTTTGTTTAAGTTTAAAATGCCGGTAACTTTGTGTAGGACACAGGACCGGATTTAAGCATTTCGAAGCCCCGAGCCGAACTCTAAGGCCCCTTACCAACCCTTCACGATTTTAGAAGTCAATCGTAAAAAGAAAAGAATTAAATCAGACTCTGATTTAATACGGATATTGGAAGAAAAAGACGCGAGGTTTTACTACTCTTCTGTTTTATAATTAAGTTTAATTAAATTTTTGTACCCATTCCATTAAAAATCTTTTTTTTAAATTGGTGTTATCAATTTTTTAAAAAAAATATCTTATGTTAATTCTTAGAAAAAATCAGTGAAATACTACACAAAATAAACAGTGAAGTATATTTTGTCGGTTTGTAAAAACCTGACTTCAATTTTCTTTTTTGTACAAATGTTTGAGGTCCCTCGAAAGTCGAGGCTTTTCACTTGTAAATCCGGCCCCGATGGGACAATGTCAAACTCGATGTTTTTTAACACAAAAAGCACAAACATGTACAGAACGTCTCGCTCATTTGTTTCCATACCACATAATGACGTGTCCCGCTAACAATAATTGTTCTCCTTCTATAAAATTTCTCGATAAACAGCTACGGGCAGCGTATATCATTATATCGGACAGTAATATATGATTAATTTTACATTACTAATTACCAGCCATTTTGTAAAAATGCGGCGCCCTCTATAGTTCATGAAAAACGCGAATATCGTATTTACAATTAAGTGAAAAACATTTTTTCTTATCGACATTCAGATTCCTCTGTCCGAGTAAAAAATCCCGGCCTGGTATGAAAACGGACAGCAAATTTCGAAAGATAACAAATACGATAAAGAATTCGTTTTGGTCGCTTCCAACAATAAAATCGTCATTTTTATTTATAACAGAAATTGTAATAATAATGGCTGATAATTTAATCGCACTTTCACAATCGCCGATAAAAACTATTGTCTTCTCTGTCGATTATAAAATTTCCACGCAGTTTACCTACGTATAAACTCCTCTATGACGAAAACAATAAATTTATGTTTTTAAAAACCACTATTGACTAAATCTAAGCAAACGGAATGAGCGAATGGTGGAGAAACCCGCGTATAACGCCTGTCCGAGACGACCGAAATGTAATTTGCCAATCAATTTTCTAAGTTATACTTGGAAATTTTATGAAAATCCTGGCTTTTATCTTCGAAAAGTAATCAAATTCTGGGTCTGTCCGAATGCCCGTTCGGAGGAACGAGCGTAAAGTTATAGACCGAAAGGATGGAAAGTATATGAGAGAATCGAGCGATAGAAAATGTTTTTCTGCGTGTGTTTATTTCGATATTCGACCTCCACATAAGAAATAAACTCGCGGTTTAATCCCGATAACTTACCGATTCGAACCAGTTATCCGACATCCGAGATTTCGTCATTCTCGTCCATATCCACTTAACAGACACCTTCTCCCACCTTTTAGAGACAATGGTCATCTTGGAAGAAAAGAAAAAAAATTTATAACAAAGTTTTAAGCTCAACTCGAGTTATTATTGAGCAGGCATTTGGTCATCTCTTTGGCCGTATGAGGAGACTAAAATATTTATATATTTTAAGAAGGGAGCTTGTGCCTGTTGTGATTACNATCTTGGAAGAAAAGAAAAAAAATTTATAACAAAGTTTTAAGCTCAACTCGAGTTATTATTGAGCAGGCATTTGGTCATCTCTTTGGCCGTATGAGGAGACTAAAATATTTATATATTTTAAGAAGGGAGCTTGTGCCTGTTGTGATTACTTCAGCATGTCTTATACACAATTTGTGTATTATGTATAATGATGGTCCACCACTAAAAATTGATAATGATTATGAGGAAATGTATTCAGATAATCTTGAGGACTCATTGCAACCCTAGGAAACTAGATTCGCAAAACGAGCATAGATAGCTGAAGAGGTATACCTATATTATCAACTTTCGTTATTAAACAGAAATTCGTTTATTTTAAATATTGTAATACAATGTATTTTTATAAATTTATAAAGCAAAAATTTAGTAAATTTAATTTAATATATATATGAATTTTAAAACAAATGTTTATTGTTATTTTCTTCTTACAAGCTATTTTATTACTTCTGTTAAATTCTCCAATGCTTGTACTCTTCTTTCCTCTAGCATTTTCATTTCAGCCTACATTTTTTGATTAAATTAATTTTTTTTTCTTCAACAAACCAAGATGGTGCCTGTGAGGATTGTCTTGCTTTCTTTTTTCAGTGGTCTTGAAATGTTTTCTGGTGAGTTAAGGAAAGAAGGTTTATAATTTTCAGATGGTGCTTTAGACCAGGATGAAAAGAGTACAGAAAGGGACTGTGAAGTGGTACAGGTAGGAGAGGGTACAGATGATTAGAAGATTTGACAGAGGTCTGAAGAGAAATTTGATTGTAAATATTTATCAAGAGTACATTGTTACATTTTTTCCAAAAGTCATTGTAAAGGTCTCAAAATAAGGCCAACAAATACCGCTTCCACCAGATTTTCTCGCTTTCTTTACATTTTTTTCTAAAAGTCTCCATTAAATTTCTCCACCTGTGTGCACAATCTTCACCAGTGAAAGAATGTGCACTTCCACACATAATGCCTGATATTTTGTTCCATAATTTCTTTTTTATTACAGGCTTACAGAATTCTTTTTCTAGCTCAATGCGCTGAGAAATTAGAAATTTTGTTGCATTATCTGCCCACACTTTCTCTATAAATTATAAATCACGTGTTTTACAAGTTACCATCATCCTTAATGGTACTTATGGGTTAAGAGGACGTCAGTCGGAAATTGCGATCAAAGTCGCGATTTTGAATAGAATTATCAAAATAACCACAGACTAGTAAATTTAAATCTAAAAAGAAGAAAATTTACTGTTAAGGTTGTAAAAATGAGAAAAAAAAAAATCAATTAGGATAATTACAGATATCACCTGTTTGCTATGTTTGCCATGTACAGTAATCTACAAAATAATTTGCATATTCAAGAGGTTTATTATTAGAATGTGTGAAATTTTGTTAAATCTTCATAAATCGTGAAGTGTGGCTATTTTTATTATTTTATTACATGTAATTATTATTTTTTCTACGTTATTAAGTCGTTACTTTACGCTTTACTTACTTTCTGTAATCGTTGATTCAAATACTGTAAGGTCTCGTTTTATGCGGATTTTTTTAATGCGATTTTGAAGTTGTGCGGTTTGTATTTCATCCAAAATTTTTTTGGACAAACATACATATAGGCTTGTTTAGGAAGCCCGCGTAGAGTCTCCAAAAATCGTGGGACGCTCAAAGCTCACTCCATTTGTTCCACTGACATATAACCTTTATGGATGTAAAGGACAGCTAGATCTACCTTAATCGCTTTAGTTCCTAGCAATTTTTGATATAAATGTAATTAAACATTAAAAATACTTAAAACTAAAAAAAAACGAAAGAAATGCGTTAATTTTGAAGAAAAAGCTTCAAAGTTTAACTTCCTTTGTCTTGCCCTTCTGTGAAATTTAACACCGATGAGTCAGTTTATACATCTGGATGACCTTGAACACAGCTGGAGTTGGATTTCCCGGGGCATTCTCATAAACGTCGCGGGAGGACAAGGGTTTAAAGTAGGGTGAACACTAGCTGGCCGTATATTTTTAAATATTTTTAAAAAATTTGGAGACTTAAAAAACATTCCAAAAATTCAAAAAAAAAATTTAAAACTATATTACTTTTCAATAAAATTAACTGAATTAAGTTTGAATACAAGTTTATTTTAAGCTTTTATATGAATTTCTTTCAGACATTCGAAGTAATTTATTAAGCAGCCTATTTCTTTTAATTTCTGCAAACTTTTTTATGCGGTTTTAAGTTAATTTTAACTCGTTGTTTTGATTTTATGCGATTTTAGAAAATTACGGAACGTATCCCTACTTTTTCAAGGCAAATAAAGTCTTTTTTATGCGAATTTTTTTATGCGCTTTTCTGTAGAACCTATCCACCGCATAAAACGAGACCTTACAGTAAGTAGATGTGACGTCATGACTCGCTCGTGCGATTATGCTAAGTAGATGTGCAAGTTGCTCGTTGTGTTAGATTGTGAGATTTATTATCACGTTCATTACCAAGATCTGAAAATAGAATATACCTTTTGGGACTTACAGAACAACGAACGTGGAGCTATTAGTTTGTTTCAGAAAAAAGGAATTTTACATTTTGAACGCATTTGCAAGAATAACCATCCAATGAGTTTGTATTTTTGTGAAACAGAAGTTCCGAAACGGAGGTGCCATGTCAAGACGTGTCGACAGAAAAGAGGCATTACGACAGATAACTAGATTTTCGGGTCACGTATATCCTTTCTTGATGCTTTGTGTTTTATGTTCATTTGGTCGCTGGAACTGTTTTCGTTGGAATTTTGTAAAGTGCAAGTAGGACTTGATTTTCTACAACCATCAACTGGAACAGTTACACGAGGGAGGTCTGCGCCCATTCTTTAATGACTCGTTGTGACGGAAAGATAGGCGGTGTTGACAAGATAATTGAAATAGACGAAACGTTATATACAAGAAAAAAGTACAATGTTTGTCGTGTTTTACCCCAACAATGAGTGTTTGGTGGACTATGTCGAGAGACAAAGGAATGTTTCCTTGTTCCAGTGCCAGATCGTTTGGCACAAACGTTATTGAAGGAAGTGGAAAATCGTGTTTATGAAGGAACTATCATATTTTCGGATTGTTGGAAAGGCTACAGTAGCAAAGAATTAAAAGAAGCAAAAAAAGATTTAATTATCAAGTGAATCACAAATTAAACTTTGTGGATGTGGATACCGGATGTCACACTCAGAACATAGAGAGGTTATGGGGAAATTGTAAATGGAGAAACAAGGTGCAAAGAGACACTTCTCGTCGTCATCTCAACTCGTATTGAGTTTATGTGGAGAAGAGAGAACCGTAAAAACGAAGCATTTTCAGCAATCTTACAAGATATTGCGAAATTCATGCAAACGAAATGATAAACTACTAACGTAAAAAGTAAGCATTTTTCAAAATTTATTATTTAAAGTATGCCTTTTGTATAACATTAATTTATTGTTTGATTTAACAATTATATTAAATTTGAGAAGTAAAAAATTGCATTATTCGGAAAAAACGCTATTTCCGACTTGCGTCCATAAGTGTAAAGGGTTCAACTTTTTATTAAATAATTGATATATAGATTTTAATATTTACTTAATCAAAAATAATAACTGAACTGCACTCTTATAATCTTGTTAGATATTTATATTTAATTCAGACTTATTCGATTTTTTATATTTTTTATAGTGTGATTAATTAATTTATATTTAACTTTCTAAGAGCTTCCACAATAAGAGAACAATTAAATGTCATATTAATTAACGTAATTCTTGCATAAACGAAGACCGTTGTAATTTATATTTAAAAGCTAATCACACAGCAATCGAGTATACAATTATTTACAATTGTAATAAATTGTTTTGAAATACTTGATTGCTGTGTTTGATAAGCTTTAAAATAAAAATTGAAAATACTTTGCTGCTTTCCCTTACATTATTATTATTCAGACTTATTAATATTGTCACATTGTTCATTTAAAATTGTCGACAACGTTGAAATTAAATAAATTTAGTACATAAAAACGAGCATAAATTATATAAATACTAGAAATTCCCCCATCAACCATGACTAAATTTTTTTTGAGAAAGTATAGATTGAAGCTAACTTGTTTGTTTGACTATAACTTTCCATTGAATTACTTTTAATTAGTAATAATCAGCGTATAATCAACCTGTGTTAATAAATATAATAGAGAATAAATTAGTTTAGAAAATTATATATATATTGATTTTCAGTTTTTTTTTTCTGGTATTACAATTAGCTTAGCTTATTTAGGTCAATAGTTTTATATACAATATATAAGCTTTATCTAAAAGTCACCTCTTCTTCAATACACGAAACATCTTTATTCTAATTTAGATTTATATTTTACATACGTTATTTAAATATTTCAATATTTTTGGGAAGGTTTTGTTTACATCAGTGTTTTTCAACCTTTTTGAATACGCGACCCCTTTACAAGTTAAAAAGTTCTGGAGACCCCCCTAGGGCATATTAAAACTATATCAGTGATTTTAAAAATTATGTATTTAATTTTCTTTCTGTTGAGAGAAATTATTGTTGACTAAAATGAGAATTTAAGAAGGATTGACAATAACTTAAGACACGTATGGTATGATACTTCCCTTCTATAAGAACATTGGGTTCGGAGTGCTGTGACCCTTTTTTTTTCTTTTTTTTAGGATCACAGTTTTTAACTTCCACTTTTCTACTTATTACTTTTTTTTACAAGTCAGCTCAGCACTTTTTCGGCTGTCATTTTCTGACCCCTCCCTGGAGAAACCCATCATTCAAACCTAAATGTCAATCAAAAAACCAACTGTACTGTATAATAAACAGATACAGCTTTCTCGCTGAAATTGTAGTTTTTTTAATATAGTGTAGGACCTGCAAACACTTGTCTTTTTCTTTTACCCGCGACCCCCCGTGTAAGGCTTTGCTACCCCCTTGAGGGTCGCGACCCACAGGTTGAAAAATACTGGTTTACATTATAGACGTAAAATACCGGGACGTCAAAAAGGTTTCTGTTATTATTGACGCCCTCCTCTTTACTTTCAACCTTGATAACAGTTCGGGGTTATCGTTAGGTACGGACCTAAATCTAGACTTCATGACGTCATAGAAGGAATACGTGAACTAAAAGGAATACGTAAGAATATTCGGATAAGGGTTTTTTTTTGATAATCATTGATACCTTTCTCTAATTTAGAAAATTTATTTTACTTTAATAATTACTTTCCTGATTGTCATAAATAACCGAGGGAAAGTATGGCGATCGGTCAAAAAATGACCTTTCAAGATTTTTAGTTTTTTTGAACTCGGGACCTTAATTAAAACATCAAAAAATAGGCTATACAAAAAATAGTTTGGAGGTGTTTTCATGTATATACGGATGTTCGTGTGGGTGTGTGTGGAATGCACTACAGTCGACCCCCCTATAAGATATAGATACGTTCCAATTTATTAGGAATCCGATTTCTTACAAGTCGTTCCAATCACAGCCCGACACGTGTCAAGTTTACGGACTACGGCTGATTGAAAGGTTTTCTTCCATAAAATTAATCGATTCTACACTAATCCGACTCAANTTAATTATTATTTTATATATTTTATTTGTGTATTATAATTATTAAATTTTTCATTTTCACTCCATTAAATTGGCACCTACACATTTAATTTTAGTAAATATTACAAATAATTTTATTTAATTCGTATTAAATAGATTATTAATGAAGATCTTGACAGTCGTTATAAATGGCAATTTCTATATTTGTTTAAATTTTTAAATGAGTAATAAAATTAAACCTCTAAGAATATGCCTCTTATATTAAAGCTCTTAGAAAAGATAAAAGTTATCTAAAGCACTTTAAAATAAGTGTCATATTTAAAATTAACTTGGTCCATTAGAAGATATATAAATTAGAATAAACTAAATGACAAATGAACAGTAATTACTCATGGATAAAATGGTTATACAGAATGATTCAATTTGCTTAAAAAAAATAAGACGACTGTGCTATAAATACTATGCTTTTCTCTCTATTAAAAACTAAAACAAGTAGCTTAAACTAAACATAAAAATATATATTTATATCTTTTCACACAAAATAAAAAGAAAATATGCACTTTTTCTATGAAACTGCCTAATTATTTAATATAAATTACTAAATATTATGGTTAGGAAAATGAAACAAAATTGTGAATTCAGAGAGACTTCAAAATTATCAAAAAATTTTTACATTACTCTTTTCGATCTTAAATGTTACTGTTGTGTTCCCTTCTTAAATTTCTGACTGTGCCATTATAATGATATAACATGGTATTATGTTAGATATATAATTCATGTTTTTTACTTACTGATGTAATTCACGTTATTGGTAATCATATTTCCAAATGTACGTTTATTTAAAATTTATAAATAATTGTAAATTCTGCTTGTGTGGAAATTATTTTCATTTAGCATGTGTTTGTAATTGTGCAGGATTCTGATAAAATTACAGTATTTTACAGCATTAAGACAACAATTTAAGAAAATTGCTTTGTATTTTTTAAATTGTGATTTCCCTTAGGCTAATGAATTTCCCAAACTGCCTTCGGTAAGCTACAGATAACTTCTACAAAATCCAACTCTTGAATAAAAATGCTACTGTTAAATTAAACATATTGAAATTATTATTATTTGTTTTTTGTTACAGCTAAATTGTTCTCATATGTATTAGGATTTCTCATTTCCCAGTCTTTTGCTTGTCCTGAGATTCCAGGAAAAAATTAACTGTTTCCCGGGATCCCATGAAATCCCAGAATATAATTAATTATATTTAAGATATAAAGTAAATCTTAAAATTGAATGATATAATTATTTTTTATTTTTTAAAGTAACTTAATATGTCCTGCAACATCCAAAATAATAATAATAATGCTGTGTAAAATATGTATAAAATTACTTTTGAATTACATGGAAATTTTCACAAATAGAAAAAAATTTATGAAAGTTTGTTGGAAACTGCTTACAACAAAAATGTGTTTGAATTGAGTTGAAAATATAAAAAAAAAAATGAACTTAGATCAAACTTCTAAGTTAGAAGGTAATTTTCATTATTTAAATAAAACATTATTACAGAAATATTATTGTAAATTTTTATAATAAGATTTTAAAAAGCAAAGATGGTTGATACTCTGATTAGTCGGTCTGGTTATTAATGTAGTAATGAAAAGTCCTGCTACCGAGAACCCCTTTCCGATTCAATTGATGTGATTGGAATCGCGTTTAATGCATTTAAGACAAGACAGATAGATATTATGTGTTTTTCACCTGTAGCCTGGAAAATTTCTAGTTCATTTTCGAGATTGTAGTAAAGATCATACTTCTTTTGCTCTCTAGTATTCTCGCTTTCTCTACCTCGACTGCTTTAATAGAAACGTCATAGCCCAATAATTCGGCTGTTCGTTTGTCTTTAATAATCAGGTTATGAAGAAAAACTTCATACTTACATACTTCGTACTCGTTTGTATCCTTGCCCAATTTGCACAACTTGGCGTTACGCAGTTATTGAAGCTACTGGGCATGGGTAAAAATTAAGACAGCGTAAGCACAATTATTCCAGATATTACAGGTTCCGACAAGTAAAGAATTTTGAGAGTCCTGCCACAAATAAGCTACCTATTGACATTTGTGACATGCCATAACAAGCGAAAATTAAAAAAATAATAATAAGTAGGTTTAAAATTAATGAACACAAATGTGTTCTGACAGTTTGATGAAATTTTGTAAATAGAAAGCATAATTAACTCAATCTTAACACAAAATAAGAAGAATAGTGAATTTTTAAGAAATTTGTGGGATTTCGCGGGTTAAAAAAACAACCGTGATCCCGTTTGAGAAACCCCAGTCGTGTCATATCTGCAGTAATGTCCCTACTGGAGAGATGACAAGACCCTCGTTCACAAACTTAATGATGATTTAACTCGTTATTCCCATTGACAATTTTTTTTTATAAAACTCGTCCCTACCCAGAAAAGTAAGCGTTTTCTATTTTATAATAATAATAATAATAATATGATATTTAATAATTAAACAGTTTTTATAGCAGGTGGCGGCGCACACACAAATGAAATGTTGTCCGGTAAGTTAAGCAACTCGTTGCTGGATATTTTTATTGATGTATTAGATTAAATTTAATGAAATTTTTAATTAATGAATATGATCATAGTTCAGATTCGAATACCAGAGAATATTTCTGAAAAATTAATTGTAATTTTTACTAAATGTGTACACTGTTAATATGAAATAATTAAAGAAGAGAATTTATATATTTTAAAACATTTAGCATAGAGAATGGAAATTTTAATCACTATCAGAATACATTGAATATGAATCTGTCTGATATTTAAGATCATTTTATTTTTTCCATTTAGTTACTTTTCATCTTGAAAATACAGAAAACGAAAACGAATAAAGGAAAAGAAACTAAGTTTAATCCTGCAAGAATGAAATCCACGATTCACTCTGAAGTATTTGTATTTTACAGGCTCAAACGTTGTAAATCTTTTTATAGGAAATGTGTTATGAAGGAAGTATTTTATAAAAATACAATATTCGTTTTATTCGAATTTGACATATTATACAGTTATACATTTAACAATACAAATGAATAGGATTATGAATAAAACATTCTAATTTTAAGAAACTCAAATGAAATTAAATTTTATAGAAGTTATTTCATGTGTGTTATTACTTTCAGTTGTTCTTTGGATGAAACATAAAGATTAGAAGAAAATATTTTCCAAGATTAAAGAAACAAATTGTATATTAGATACTGTTTTCCTTACATCGATGCTTTTCATTGTAATATATAATTGAAGAAGCAGGAGAGAGATCTATTTCATGGAATAAGGATCAATGGAAGAGCAGGAAGATATACAAACTTTTATACACTTTTAAAACGTTTTACAGAAATTGTTTACTTTAATCTGTCAGCCTTGATTATCTGTGTTTGAAAATAACATTAGTAATATGATATATTTATACTCGAACTTTGTCATTTGTAAAATTAGTTTTTTGGTTTGATACAGAAATCTGCTTTTAGATATAAAAATGTTTATTTTTAGTTAAATATTATTAGTGGATAATTATTATTGTGATTGAAGAAAATTAATTGATTATACACAGATAAAATATTATTTCAAACAATTTTTTTTATTGCAGATAAAAGTAAGAAAAAAATTTTCATGTAAACACTGTAAGAAGAATTTCAAAACGAAACAACGTTTGCAACGTCATGAAAGAATACATACAGGAGAAAAGCCTTACACTTGTGACGAATGTAAACAGAACTTTTCACGGAAGGATCACTTAATTAAACATCTTCGCATCCACACCGGAGAAAAGCCTTACACTTGTGACGAGTGTAAACAGAATTTTTCTGAAAAAGGAAACTTAATTAAACATCTTCGCACCCACACCAGAGAAAAGCCTTACACTTGTGACGAGTGTAAACAGAATTTTTCTGAAAAAGGAAACTTAATTAAACATCTTCGCACCCACACCAGAGAAAAGCCTTACACTTGTGACGAGTGTAAACAGAATTTTTCTGAAAAAGGAAACTTAATTAAACATTTTCGCACCCACACTGGAGAAAAGCCTTACACTTGTGACGTGTGTAAACAGAAGTTTACACAAAAGAAAAGCTTGATTAAACACCTTAGGACCCATACAAGAGAAAAACTGTATGAATGTCAATTATGTCCAGAGAAATTCATTCGAAATATGGACTTGAATAAACATTACAAGATTCACAATTAGAAATAATTTTCCTTCGAAACTTATAATTTTTATTTATGTATAATAATCAAAAGATTTAAGTAAAACTAGTTTAAAATTAAAATCATTTCTTAATTTTCTTTGAATTTCTGAAAGTTTCAACTAAAAAAGCATATCAATATTCATACTCGGATGTAATTTCCTTCAAATATAATTCTATAACATACAAGTATTTTGTTGATCGACAGAACTCTCCCAAAGTGTGCTTATATACGAATCTGCCTAGGAAAACTGTTCATGCAATCGGCAGTTGTTTGGAAACGAAGGTTACTTTTGCAGGTGCGTGACTTTCGTTGTTGTAATTGTGTCGGTTTCCTGTCCTTTCACAATTCGAAGTTATTACTTTGCAACTAATTGTTAAAATTCTCATTCTTTTCTTGATAGAGAATGTCATTCGTTTGTATCTGGTGCGTTGTTTTTCCTAACGATCGCGACAGATGTTTAAAAATGTTCTTAAAAATGGATTTTAATATCCTTAAAATCGTGGATCTCTCATTACTAAATATTTCAAAACTAAATAAATCGGTTCAAATATTTTTTCGGAAAACGAATTTCGACCGTAGGCGTCAAATAAAGACTAATCTGGTTAATCAATGTACGAATATTTACGTTCATCGCAATTTTCATTTGTCATTTAGACCCTGTACACACTAGGCGTTTTTCAACGCGCGTTAAACGCGCGTTTTAAAGAACCTAGAGTTCTATGTAGCCGTACACACTCTAACGCCAAGCGCGCGTTTAACGCGCGTTTATAGATTTCTGTTAAAACGCGCGTTTTGCGAGCGCTTTACGGGCGCTTTGAGATATATGTGCTGCCTTATAGCGACGATGGAGGAGCACACACAATCAATTACTTTCTCGTCCATTTCCAAACTGAGCCATTGCTAAACGCCGAACTAACGCTCGTCGAACGCCGAGCTAACGCGCGTTAGCTCGGCGTTAATCGCGCGTTGAAAAACGCCTAGTGTGTACAGGGCCTTAGTGTCCAATCCAACGTGTTTGCAATTTAGAATTCAATTAAAGTGAGATTTTTATAACCGAAAAGATAAATAATATAGAAGAGAAGGTGGTATTATGGAACCCCAATTACATTATAGTGAATTGTAAACAAGGTATCATAACAAACCCACATCTTTTTGTGCGAAAAGTACTGGTAACTATTAAACTAGATGTTCCTAATTGGATTTTTCGCTAGTGTAACTATAAGTATGGTTTTTGAAGGCTTTTGTACAAAAAGTCAGAAAGTAGGCTTAGAGAAAATCGGGTGGTAATATGGAACCCTACTGTATGTTTACAAAAAATGCTTTAATATAGCCAAAAACAAATAAGAAAGTACAAAAAATGTTAAATAATTTACAAAATTATTTACTTTAATGTATTTTATCGCAAAAATGCTTTTATAATAGAAAAAATATGACCTCCAACAATATGTATATTCCAGCAGCTCTTTTTCGATATTCTCAAGAAGAATTGGGTTTCTACCTAGTGTTTTTTTCACAAATTGCTCCGGAGGAATGTCTGCTTGCAAAGAGAAAGTTCGGAAGAGTTGAGTTCCATATTACTGTAAAAGCACCAATGGGGTCCATATTTCACGCATCTCCATCTTGGGTTAACTTAATTACTGTCGGCACCAAACTTTAAAAACATGAAAATCACACAGATTAATATGTACCCCTAAGTCTCTGGAACGGAATACATGCACCAGTGAACCTACAACTACACGATTTATATTTTAAAAATAATTAAATTCACTTAGCATTCAAAACTTGCGAATTTTGAAAAAAAACAAATTTGCTGATTAAATACGGACAACTATTTAACTGAAGTAAAACGGGTTTTTCCCTTGCTATGGATGTCTGCCTAGTTCAGTTCAGCCACATTCCGCTACAGTTCGCCATTATTATCAGTTCGAAATTGGGTGGTTCCATAATACCCGCAGTGTTCCATAATACCACCTTCTCCTCTACTGTACAGTATATATACCCTGTATTTTAATTATATATGCTAGGTATACTGTATCTGATAAAACAATATGTACCGATATTGGGGACATCAACATTAAAAACTGTTCTTTTCGTGATACGTAGGTAAACACAACCTGTACTTAAATCTTTTACACAAATAAAACTGTGGCGGTCAAAATGCTTGTTGCCACATCACGGGAAAATGCCTTAACATATTTTAACCAAAACCGAAAATATTCAAAAAATATAGATTCGTCATCTCAGTTTTTTATAAAGAGTATGAAACTCCCAATCTATTGATATTTTATGTCCATGCTTGATGTACCCACTTGCGGCGCTTTCTTGATCGCAGTTTTTTTCTTCTTCTTCATCCAAACATATAGCTATCATAGCCAATTCATCCTCAGAAAAGTCCATGACCACTCACTGACAGTACGGTCACATCACTGTTGTATGTAAATACTCGTCACTGTGCCGTGCTCGACGTCACTGTCACCAAACGGTCACTGTGCCGGCAAGTCACTGTTGTTTGTAAATGGACCGTTACTCAGAGAGACTTGTGGGTGATCGCTACGCAACCGATAATCAGGCTTTATAAAATAGTCTAATCGCGCGCGGAAAAAGAATGCCTTCCAGGAGGACTTTTATGGGAAACTGGCCTCTATTCAGGCGTCATCGACGTGGAGAAAACCCGGAAAACGCCATGCTGCCAGCCCGTCACTCAAGTGCGGGGATGAAGACCTCATCGTTACAGATTAAACAGATTTTTTAAGTTTAAAACAACTAATAGCCCGGGACACCTCATAGTGGGCGTTCTAACAGCAGCGGTGTCATTCCGTGAAATAAATAATAAATTCATATCAATAATAAATTTCTATTACAGATAAAAATAATAATATACTTAGTTTCTCTTGCCGTATCCTACTAAAACGCAGTCAAAAACGCAAAAAAACCGCATCTAATAATAATAATATAATAAATTTATTGTTAATTTAAATGTCTAGGGACGCCCCTAGTGGCCGTTCAAGGATTTCCGTTACAGATTACAGATATGCAAATAAGCGATCAATGGCTTATATTAGGTGAATGAATATTACGTGGAATATTATTAGATTTGTTTAGTTCGGTGATCGACACTTTAAGTTCGGCGAAAGAAAAGAAATAATTACCGGTAATTAATTTTTACCTATTATTCTACAAGTAATATCAATAATTTTTGTAAACAGAATTTTTTCGTGAAATTTTCTATTTTTGGTCCATACATCCTTTGTTTAGTGTTCATATATTTATTATTGTTATTATCAGTTATAAAATAGCATATTTATATCGATTTTGAAGTAATTGGAAATTATCTCGACTAAACACTTTAAGTCGGTTCTTAGCCAAGTGAATAAATAGAACACGGGGTTAATGTCCAGGGTCGTAGACCATCATGGCGGCTCTTCCTGCTTTAGCCTCGAAACCGGACCGCTTTGGAGACGACGTGTCACGTGACGACGCGAGCGAACGGCGGCGGCTGCTGCGCCGCGGCAGCGCCGGCGCTGATTCCAGCGAACAAAAGCAAACAGTGGGGACGCACGTTCTAAGCTAACCTAACCTAACCTATTCTAATAATATAAACGGTAATAATTATGATAATTTATTAGAATAGGTTAGGTTAGGTTAGAACGTGCGTCCCCATTGTTTGCTTTCTTGTCTTTGCTGGAATCGGCGATCAGCCGCCATGAGTGTACGTATCTGGACTTTAACCAAAATAACAAAATAACATGTTTTTTTTTTTTTTCACCTTTGCCCGCACTCATTCGCCGACTCTGGCGTGACGCGCAGGCGCTTGCGTCGTCACGTCACACGTCGCGCAGGCGCTCGCGTCGTCACGTGACACGTCGTCTCCAAAGCGGTCCGGTTTCGAGGCTAAAACAGGAAGAGCCGCCATGATGGTCTACGACCCTGGACATTAACCGAACACGGAAATACTGTATTCTCTAAACTTTCGTTTTTGGAAGAAAATGAACATTATTTTTCATTCCTTCAAGACCACGTGACTCATGAAGTCACTGGAGGTAAAGAAGCGAAGCCCCGCGTATCAGGTAGAAACACGCTTATGCTTACAAGCTGGCCTTTTAAGAATGGTTAGAAATATTTAAAACTACCGTGAATTAACGAGTCACTACTAAAATGATTTTAAAATGTTATGTTTTGTACTGTTACTTATTTTGCCCTTTTTTGTTCCATCGTTACCTCAAAACAATGCACTTAATCTAATAACCTACGAATGACTAAGGGATAGAATCATTGGAAGCGTTATACGATATTTTGGTGTGTAGCATCCACAAGCTAAATCGTTCTACTGTGTAAAGCGAATGCCTGTAATCTGGGTGCTTTACGTAATTCAAATATTTTCGCCGTGGAAGCTAACCCGTATTCGACAATACGGCGCTTCTATTGGGAATATGCATATATGAATTTATATTCGAATATACCAGTGTTTTTCAACCTTCTTGAATACGCGACCCCTTTACAAGTTAAAAAATTCTGGCGACCCCCACGGCCATATTAAAACTATGTCAGTGATTTTAAAAACTACGTATTTAATTTTCTTTCTGTTGAGATTTAAATATCGATCAAAAATCTAATTGTACTGTAAAATAAACAGACACAGCTTTCTCACTGAAATTGTAGTTTTTTTTATTGTAGTGTAGGACCTACAAACACTTGTCTTTTTCTTTTACCCGCGACCCCCCGTGTATGGCTTTGCGACCCACCTAGGGGTCGCGACTCATAGGTTGAAAAACACTGGAATATACAATCGCAGTCTTATCATTGTTTTTCACGTGTATTGATAGTATAGAAATTTGTAATAAATTACACGATACGGTTATAATAAAAAAATTAATTTTAAGTAATTCAAAGCAGGATAAAATTGAAAAGAATCGCTTAGAAATATAGCTAATTAGCTAATAGAAGGAAGGCGGTTGTAATTTTAATCTTTTTAACGTGTAACATAATTATTTTGCTATT